TTATATATATATATATATATATATATATATTATGTGTGTGTGTGTGTGTGTGTGTGTGTGTGTGTGTGTGTGTGTACTTGATTTCTTTATATTAACAACTTTCAAAGTTTATAAAAACCCGTGATTATCCCTAAGTTAAAAATATGTGTCAGAACTACAACCTCCAAACACACGTAACCGTCTAGCAGCGAGCAGCAATTCTGGGACACATACAGAGCTTTTCAGTCACAATCCACAAAACTACAACTGTGAATGCAGTTATTAGTACTATGTATACAATAACAACTATGTGATAAAAAGGCTTACTAATTATTCATCATCTTTACTGACTAGTATTGTGGTATTTCTGAAAATAAAATTAGGCAATAAAAATGAATGTAAAACACTGTCTCTCATACTTTAATATTAATGAGGTTACGTAAAACAAACAGTATTTTTCACATGTTTTTGTTTCAAATCACACAGCCTGTCAGTGTTAACTACTCTACAAAGGTTTACAAGCTTACTTTCTGTATAATAGTGTATTATCTTTTACACTTAAAGCAAAAACTGAGAAATAAAAATTGTTCAAGCAAAATTAATTAATTGTAAAATAAAAGACAAACTAAGTGAGAAACATGCATGACTGCGTGCGTAACTACCATTACTACAGATCAACTTTTGAAGTCTTACAATTTGTTGATGATTGGTTATATTCTATTACTTAAACTCTTGGTTAAGAAAAATACTAAAAAAAAGATGAAAGAATTTAAGTTGATTTATGTACATCAGTGTGTGAAAATTATTTTCAATATGGCCTAAACAAGGCAAGATACAATAGTATTGGGTTATAAAAACTTAAATTTGGAAAACGCAGAAAATTGACAAATTTTGTTGGTGGTGAATATTCAAAAAGATTGGACACAATCCTTAAGTACTAATTTATATTATTTTGGAAATAATAATTTCTACAGTTTGATTAGTATTCATTAGAAAAATGATCTATAAGTACACTTCCAAACTCTGAAAACTTTATGTAATGAAGAATTTCAGACTGTCAAGTCTTTCTGCAACTACCTCACTATACACCCATTTCTTTTTTACAAAAAACCTTTAAATACAAAGAAGACAAAAGTAATACTTAACCTACTTTTCTTGTGGTAAAGGTTTTCTTTGTTTTAATTTTCCTATCTCCATACGGAATCCGCTGCCAATTAGTTGTTTTCTTAACTTTATAGATCCGAACTAGCCAGTGTTCTGTGGTGTAAGCCTCTTCCAAGTACTCAAGTTTAAAATTCTTGTTTCCAATCTCCATGTTTCTAGTACGGTCAAACCCTGATGGTGTTCGATGGTCCAGCTACCAACAGCCAAAATATAATAACAATATTAATAAAAAGTCCTGTTTATAACCTAATAACACTCATTGAAACAAATTTAGAAAAAGTGAACGCTTTCTAAAAAAGGATTTTTTTTCTGGGAAGTAGTGTTCGAATTTTGCTCTTTAGTCATACCCAACTCATTACATCAAAATGATTCAATGCACAGAGCTCAACAGTTTCATAAATTTTACTGATATAAACTGTAATGTTTTTATATATACTAAAAGTGGTATAATTTATTGAATATTATAGTTTTTTTAAGAATTCCAGTTTCTCAGTACTACATTTAAAAATTACACCAATAAAGATATAATCAAACCCTCACGCACAGTCCTGGTGAAAGTCGTATTCTTGTTGCGAGGAGAGTACTTTAATTTAAAATTGTGTTCTATGATAAAGAAATGACTGTTGCACATACCACAGTTATTTTTCTAATTTTCTGAACCTGTGAAATTTGTTATGGATTTTTGTTTGTGGTGCCTTCAATAGATGGTGCAGGAGTTTTGGTTGCATACATAGAAACTGACATACACGCTACATCCATTATAGTAAGATTAGAGAAATACTTTAAATTTTGTTTTTAATAATCAACACCCAGATTTACTGAGAGGCAAAACTCCTTGCCAAAGTTAAACATTAACTTCATGTAGGTTGTTAGTGTTCATAAAAAATTTTAAATAAAGACCACAATATAACACACTAATATTTGTACAAACTATTAATTTTTTCCACTTCTTTAATCGTTATGTATGTAAAGAAACCCCACAGAAAACGTTTCTTATTAAGTTCAAATTTGCAGTGGGCTATCTGTGTTCTGCCAACTACAAGTAACAAAATTCAGTTTTTTTATTGTTATAAATGCTTAGACTTACAACTGAGACAACAGGCGGTCCCCATAAAAATACAAAGTTTTGGATTTCTATAATATTGAATAATTTAAAATGACAATGTATTTAGCTTGGAAGTTAGTTTCTCATGAAGGAGTGGTTAATAACAAGGTATCTAGCAGCAAACTTTGAATAACCCCCGAAAAAAAAATTACCAGCAAAACACACACAATATGTACACATCAAAGGTACAAAACACTGCAAAAACAGTGCAATAGATTTCATGAAATGACCTAGTCCAGGATACAAAATAATAAAATAGAGGTCATACGATTTATAAATACTACAATCATGTTTTGTGCTTTGAGCAGAGATTAGCAATATATACCACAGTGATACCATAACCCTTCAGCGATAAATGATCACAGTCATCTAGCTAGACTTTAGCCACCTTTCAACAGAATTTGATTGGTTCTCACATTTAACACCAGCCATATTTGCTTGAATAATGCAGCAGCAGAGAGACAGTCACGCAATTTTGATCCAACAAAATATGATTTAATGTAGTGCAATTTAGCTGTTCTAATCATAATAATAAATGTCTTAAATTATATGCCTTTCTTAAACACCCTACGTGTGGATTGCAAAACTAAATTAAATCTTACGAGTCTAGCCAGAATTGAAGAGGTAAGGTTGTATCAACTGAGTTATCCTACAACTTTAAGCCAACATTAGCTTTCAGCATTTGCACAAATAAATATCTTAAATCTTAAAAAAAAATTGAATTAAAGGACAGCAAAGTTGTATGCCTACTTTTAACCATTGTTTACTAGATTTGAAATAATTTGTCATAACAGGCACAGGCTTAAGACTTAGTGTGTTGTCTAATCTGACTACGAAGACCATTTCAGGGACAGGCCTAATAACCAACTGCATATGTAAGGTACTGGAATGAGGACATCTTGTAAGATATTGCTGGAATGCTAAAGATTTTGGCTTTGATAATGCAAATATTTTATGTTGTTGAAAAATCTGCCTATGGGCCTTGTAGTTACTTATTTAAATAATTATTTCAAAATTAAAAGAATAGGCTTTACAGTGTTCTAATTGATACCTTTGATGTGTAAATTTATTGTTTTATACATAATAAGCTTGTTTTAGACAAACACTATAGAAAATTACAAATTAAAACACAAATAATATTAGAACATAGAATGTGTAATATATTATTTTTAGAAATTATATTAGCCAACATAAATTATGCCTGTAGATTTATTTTAGGCTTTTTATTTTCATAGAGTTGGTGTAACTGAATTCCTTGAAAGCACCTTTTCAATTCATCAACCCCCTCACAGAAACCACTGGTTGTAACTTGTTTCAAGACCCATGTTAATTAAAAAAAAAACTTTTATACACACAGTGCAAAGTTTTGTAAGGAGCTTAACCATCTATTCAATAGACTTACTCAAATTGACCACCCCATATCTATGAACTATACATATTAATGTTTACTATAATTCTGAATTTACTAAGTTTATCTTTATGTAATTTGGCAAGCCTGTTGCACATAAAAATATCAGATTCTTTAAAAATGTATTTTTACTGAAAATTTGTCTGTGAAATTATGAAGAGTTTATTGAATCAGTCTGAGTGAAAGATGATTTTCATGCTATGAATAAAAATACTTTTCATCAACAATTTTTCATATTTCATTCACATAACCTCTGGAATCTCCTAAATAAATATCAAAAGTTTTTTTTTTTTTGTAAAACTTAATATTTTCTCTACCGTAACACTAACCGTAGTAAAATCAATGTATAATGAAATGAAAAGTTGAAAAATATGAAATCAAATGAATAATATCATTTCTTTTCTCGGCCCTGACTGTAGTAATGATCAAACAGTTCCAAGTTACCTCTGTTAACAGTTTCAGCTGTTAACTTTCTCACATCTGTTTTAACCTTTCACTTTTATTTTTATATTGTGCATCCACTAAATGAGTAATCCTTATGTTAAAAGCAATAAATTACAGCAGGAGCCCATTAACTGTTTCTCATAGAGCTAATATAAACACTATGTGATTGCTGAGAATAAGAGCTCGAGTTTTTAGGTATTTTATTTTACTGATGTTTTGTTAGAATAAGTTAAGAAGGTTCTTATTTTTACATTTTAGTTACTTTGTTAAAACTATATAATAGTAAATAAAATATATACATAAAAACAAGGATTTATAATACTTTCTACATACTCAAGCTGTTTTGAATTTGAGTAAAAATTTCAGACATTTTTTTGTAAGTCTCAACAATTTCTAAGTCCAAAAAAAGATTTAATGTAACTTTCAAATATGCAATTTAGAACACAAAAAATAAAGGAGTAACTAGAACATAATGTCTCAAAACCTACTGTGATTAATCCAGCTTTCGAAGTAAGTTTTTAATAGATTAAGAAATTCCTTTAGTGCTTGGAGCTTCAAAATATGATCTCCACACACCGAACAATTCTGCTGACTAACAATTTATAGAGTAAGAACTAAATCAATCTTGTAAGATTTATGTAGAGGAGAATCTTCTCTTTCTTTTGGTTATAAACATGTCTATCAACCTTATGAAGGTGATTATCAAACATTTTTGAAAGTCAGAGACAGAGGAGAAGGGACTTCTCTAATTTATTGATATCTCAGCAAATCAAGAAGATAGGAAGTTCAACTTTTAGAATCTTGTTTGTATTGTTCGTCCTTCGAAGTTCGAAGAAGACCACGACATCATTTGGTCTATCTGTGGATACGGAGATGGCTCAAGAGTCCTATCCGAGCCAGGAAGCCTCGACCACATTCCCGGCACATATGGCTTGGTGTCCCGTTCTGAGTCGACCGCACCCGATCTTTCCGAGCTGCACGCTTCCCCTCTTGTTTGTAATTATGTATAGTTTGTGTATTTACTTGGTTAGAAATTGTATCATCCTATTTTCAATTTTAGAAAATTCTTAAGACGAAAAATCAGATCTCAGAAAAATTAAAACTGAATTTTTTTTTAAATATTTCTTTTTGAGATTAAGATATCAAAACTTAGGTAACATAAAAATTTGAATTATAAATATAGTTTCATGCCAAGTGTATTGACACACATTGATAATAAAGTTGTTTAATGAAACTTTGAATGTAACACTGTAAAAGGGCATGATATATACAAAAGATTCGTGCCTGGATGAGAAGGGTTAAAAAAAAAAAAACGTTTGCAACTTACAAAAACTTGTGATATAACAACAAAAATGAACAATACTGATTTTAATATTACAAAATATACAGTGATATATCTCACCTGAAGCTCACCAAATCTGTAGTAGCTGAGTTTATACATTAAACAGTTCAACAAAACTGGAGACCCTTGCTCATCAACCCGAAACTCTCCACGATCAGTAAAGTAGTCGCTCTCCTGCAAAATGAAAGATTGGCCATCAGTAAGTACCTATTAGATTTAAGTTTTTACATTATTTTCAAATTATCAGTCTAGAAATTTCTTTTGAAGTGTTTGTTAATAGTCTTAAATTAAATAATTGATAACTGGAATTTGACATTTTAAACTTTTTTGGAAACAACCATTCAAGATTTTAGCTATTTTTAAATATGGCATTTCCTAGTAGTTCATTGAGTATCATAAACTCTGGGCTTAATAATCTTGTGTACACACAAGTACACACTTTCACCAAGACAACTTGGCAAAGAAAAAGCTACGTTTAGCTACCAGCTAATGAACAGAAGAACAAAATTTTCTATTTTTTAAACTTCTTGATACGATATTTCTTCATGAGTGCTTTTTAAATTTATTTTAAAAATCACAGTTGTGGGCCACCATTATTCAAAATATGTTTTTTTTTAATCTCTCTCTGCTAAAGATTCATGTTTGTGGAAATATAAAGCCTGTGATATTACTTGACAGCGTGAGGCTATTGCATATTTAACAACTGATAAGTTGATGTAACATACAACAATCTACATTGTGAAACTTTTTTAATTTGAAAATTTTGAAACTAATTTTAAGGATCATTTTAACTCAGCATTGTTACAAAATTTTCTTTCTTGCATGGCAGTAATCCTCTGTAATGCATCAATAGTTCTTTTCTTCAGATGTTTTTAAGAATGCCATGTGTAATAACTAAAAAAATAAAGGTTTCTATCTGTCACTGTCCCGGTGTTTAAATCTAGCTTTCTCTGTCCTTCACAGTTATCTGTTTTCATATTAATACTTTATGCTACTATGTCATAGTTTCTGTTACATTCGTATTCAGTTTTCTTTGGGCACCATACCAGAGATCAGGTATTTCTGAAGGTGTGGAAAGCTTTTGTTTTAAATATATTATTTATGTTTTTGTTTTAGTTTGATGTTTTCTTTTTCTTTTATTACATTCCGTGGTCAGAATGTTTTTAGTTTTATTAAGTTTTGCTTTTATTATTTAAAATTCAGGGTGTTTGTTTTCTTTATTGTTTTAAAAAAAAAACTTTTCTCAAAAAAATTGGAAGAAACTATATATACATCATAAATTACAGAAAAAAAAACATTAATCTTTCCTTCCAAGCTAACTAATAACTAGTTTTAAATTACAAATCTTGATCTACCATGTATTACATTTGTTTATCAGCTATATTCTCTAAACATTGACACCCAAACATCATAGGTTTCAAGGATGTTTTCTTGCTCTGTTTTTGTTTCTTAGTATTTTTAACTTCTGTTTATATTTATTTTTTCTGTTACATTAATATTTCTACAAACACCTTTTGGTCACATTTGTGTTTTTTAATTTCATTAATTTGTTCTGGATAAACTAGGATCACATCTTTTATATTTTGCTGTTATGCTTCAATTTTATAAAGAAATGTATTTTGTAT